TGTTTAAAGCTGATGTTCAGGATACCAGTGCACGTGGAGGAAGTTCCTGCATCTGCAGGATCCTTGGCCATTCCAACTCTCTGAAGCTGGTGTCTAAAACACACCAGGCGGCAGGAGTGGACTGTGCTGTCTGTTCGGTGTGCAGAGAATGGGCCCTCATTTCACCAACTTTGAAACCTGCTCTAGGCAACAGCTTTTCTCTTTTTACTTTTCTCTTTTCTCTTTTACTGTCATCTTGTATTTCTGCATACACATTGTAACAAAGCTTTTGAAACATGTCCATTGATGTGATTCACACACTGTAAAATTCACCCTGAAAAGACAAGAATGTGCAATAAATTAGGGGAGCTTTCCGCAGAAGTTCTGCTGTCATTGCCACAGTTGCAGGGAAGATGCCTTTGTCCTTTGGTGGAGGCTGCAGGCCACCATTGCAGACCAGCTATTATAGGCAGTACTTTCAAAGTGGATGGGACACTATGAAAAGACCAAATCTAGGAATCATGGGTAGGAGAGGAAAAGAATTTCATTCTAAAGAAGTAGAAAACATTTTTAGTAATGACATATCAGTACATTTCCTAACATTTGGAAAATGATAGTTAAGTGAGAGAGGAGTAAGAAAACATCAAACAATACAAAATCTACAAAATGCTGGAAATTAATACATGCCAAACCTTTCAGTAATTCCCCTTAATACTAGAGCTCTTAATTTCCCATATTAAAAATAAACAGACTATCCAGTTGGGTTAAACGTGGGGTTCATATTTTTGTTACTCGAAGGGCATGGAAGCACAGGAAGGTTGTTCCAAGCAAATGGAGCTAGGAACCGAGCAGGTATCTGCCACTCTTTTAATATCTGACAAAATAAACCTCACACCCTTTATTCCTGGCACTTGGGAAGCAGAGGGAGGGGGATCTCTGTGAGTTTGAGGCCAGCCTGGTCTACAGGTCAGTTCCAGGACAGACAAGGCTATATGGAGAAACCCAGTCTTGAAACTCTCTCACACATATACCACACACACACCAAAATAAATAAATAAATACCCAGAGCCACATAACTTGCACCAGTAAGGAAAGAGGAAGTCTGCAGCAGGGGAGTTACAGCAAGGCCTGGTGGTCAGAGAGACAGTTCTCACAGACCAGGTAGTTACAGATCAGAAGGATGGGACTGGATCTGGGAGAACACTAAGTCTTAATGTAGGAACACACCCAAGAAGGAGTCAAGGGTGGTGACAGAGAGCCCACTGACTCCCACAACCATGTCCCTCTGTGTGCAGAAAGGAAGGACTGGCAACTACCAGAGACAACTACATACAGAGAAACTCCTTCCCTGATCCTTAGGCCACCAAAACAAACTGTCTCACCAGATTCTTGGCATGGTGATCTACGATGTGCCACACCATGTTTCATGGTTTCATCAGGAGACAATGGAAAGAGGTTCCTTGTTTTTGCCAAACATCACCTGCGACACCATGCGTCATATCCAGAGCTCCTTGTAGAAAATATCCTGCAATAATGCTCTCAAAAGACTTCTCTCCCAATCATCTAACCTGCTCTGTGTCAGCTGAATTTGCTCTCAAGGATGGCCACAGCCCAGCCCTTAGGAAGTTCACTAACACAGAAACATCTACAGAGCTGCACCTACTTTCAACCAGTCTCACTTATGAATACCTTACAGAATGTTGAGACATTTTCTAATTGGTAGGTTGTATGATCAGCTGCATACTACCCGATAAATAAGCACATGCCTTAATTCCCAGACACCATCAGTGTCATTCTTATCTGGGGAAAGAGATGCTGCAGGGGTAGGTAAGGATCCTGAGATGGGAACATTGCCTGTATTATATGGGTGAGCCATAATAATCCCCAGAGGAAAGGAGAGGGCACCAGAGGAAGACTCTGAGATAGACTCAGAGTGCAGGGATGCACGTAGAAGATGCAGGAAGGGATGAAGAGTAATGGAATGCAGGTGATCACTGACCATGGTACAGACAGAAAAGCGGGTCTCCACATGCTCAACCACAGAGAAACCAGCTCTGTGGACTGTTATGAGTAGTTTTTTCCTCCAGTCTGGTCTCACTGCCTTGCCAGCCCCAAATAATACACAGAGACTCTGTATTACATATAATTCTGTTGGTCTGTTACTAGCATTTCTTATTGGTTAGCTCTGTCTTAAATATTAACCCATTTCTATTAATCTAAGTATTTCCACATGGTCTTACCTTACTGGAGAGAGGGGCTGTCATTCTTCTCTCTCCGTCCTCCATCTTGGATCTCCTTCCTACTCCTTCCAGAATCCTCCTTGTCTCCCAGTCCCGCCTATCTTGCTTTCCTATTGGCCAACAGTGCTTTATTCATTAACCAATACGAGAAACATATTTACAAAATGACATCTCCCATCAGTAAACACTTGAACTGTGCTCAGGAAAACTCAGTTCAGGGAGTTGTGAACCACTATGTGGGAGCCTGGGTCCTCTGTAAGAGCAGCAAATGCTCTTAATCTCTGAATCATCCCTCAAGCCTGCTCGTGTCTTTTCACATGTTGCTTTCTATTTCCACCAAATAATGAGTGTAGTTGCCCTTCCCTGCTCCAAGCAAGATAAGAAAGGTGAGTTATGTACTGGTGGTGGGGGATCACTGGGATGAGCTAAGCACACCCCACAGTGGCATGGGAGCCGAGAACACCCACAGCAGTGTTCACACAGCCCTGAGGGTAAAGGCTAAGAGAAGCTTACTCCCTTACCTGGACCAGACAGAACCCAATGACTGTGTTTGTTCTAGATGCCCCCTGGTTTAATCAAGCTAACAGAAATTCCAAATTCCTGACAAAGGACAAGAATAACCTATAGATTTCTAAGGATGTTTCGAGACTGTGGTTTTTAGATGGGACCAACCATCTCTAATCCTCCCATTGAAATTAAAATGGGTTAGCCCAACAAGATAATGTATAACCCAAATCCTTCATAACCCCATGGATCAAAGTAATGATTTTGTATACACACACACACACACACACACACACACACACACACACACACACACCATGGTTCACACAATGGACATCGATGGTTTAGAGAAGTGCATCTCCCTTAAAGATCAATCTAAGGGCTGGTTTCTGTCATATCCGGTCCCTTCCTGAGGCATAAAATCCACTTCACACAGATGGGGTGCATCCAGAGTGTGAAAGGCTGTGGACAGGCCTGAGGAAGAGTGTTCCCTTCAGTCCACAGAAGACTGTAGACCAAACGTAGAGAGCCACATAACTTGCACCAGTAAGGAAAGAGGAAGTCTGCAGCAGGGGAGTTACAGCAAGGCCTGGTGGTCAGAGAGACAGTTCTCACAGACCAGGTAGTTACCAAGGCACTCTTCTTCTTCATGAAACCTGAGGAGATGTGCTGGGCCCTGATGGGAAGTGAATCTAAGAACTGAGGGGTCCATTTGTGCAGGATGACTCTGTTGTAGGTCAGACCACAAGAACATGGTAAAGTTTGGGTTCTACACAAACGTTTTCTCTCCTGGAGTCCCCTTGCCTCGATGCCATACAGGAAGAGTGGTGGGAGCTAGCAATGGCCCAAACCCTGCCATGAGAGGGGACAGCTTTATGGGGTCTTTGGGAAAATACCTTCATAATTTAAAGTGGGAATTTACAACTCCCTTAACAGACAGCCACTGTCTGTACCCTGGGGCCTATCCCCCCCTAGGACACAGAGATGTGCAGCGTAGCTGGTGATGGTTCCATGCTCATGGTTCTGAGGTGAGAGAGTTTCAGGGGTGTCTGACACTTCCTCTTTTATTTGTATCTTATTTTGTTTTATCCTATTTTTTTTTTTTGAAACAAGGTCTTGATGTGTAGTTTCAGCTAGCCTGGAACTAACTGTAAAGCACATGATGTCCTCAGACATGCAGTAATCCTCCTGCCTCAACATCCTGAGTGCTGTGAGCTTATGTACCACCATATCTAGCTATATATTTAATCTGTGCCATGATAAACTGTGGGAAATGATCCTCCAAGGCCCTGAATTATCCATTCAAATTCATTTTTCTTAGCAAGAATCAATTACAAATTATGAATGGAAAATTAAAGACCCAGAGACGGATTTTGAGATCCAAGTTCCAAGTTGAAGATCAGACAAACAAAGCAGCCAAGCCAGTAGATTTTACCTTTACCAAGCTGAAATTGCAATCCTGTCTCCATGAATCCTCAGAGGCAAAAGCTCTCAGTTCCTGTCTTCTGCTTTTTATTCCTTTCTCTACCCAGCCATATCACTCCTGTCTCCACCTCCCTGGTACTGGGATTAAAGGTATTTGATCCCTGGTACTGAGATCACCTTTGTGTGAGCTGTTTCTTTTAGGACTGGATCAATTTCTTGTAGTCAGTGTGGTCCTGGGATTACAGGTGTGTACTACCAACCCCTAGCTTCTATAGTTAACTAATATGGTTAGCTTTGCATCCTGAACACTCAGGCAAGCTTTATTAAATCATAAATAATATATCACCAAAATGTTCCAGGATATGTGGCTCAAGAGATGGTTGGTTGGAAACAGTAGGACTAAAGAAAATCTCATGAACGTCATTTCAGACATCTTGGACATGCTTTGAAAAGTGAAGGAAGAGGCTGTTTCAGGATGGATCACAGCTGGCTGGAGAGATGGCTCTGCAATTAATGTCATATTCTTACAGAGAACCAGAGTTCAGTTCCCAGCAGCCACATGAAGCAGCTGACAACACCTGTAATGCCAGCTAAAGGAGATCTGACACCCTCTTCTGGACTTTACAAGTAAGCACACACACACACACACACACACACACACACACACACACGTATGCATACACACATGTGCACACACACATGTACACACATGCACTCATACACGCATACATGCATGCACAATTTTTGAAATTAAAATTGAAAATGGATTGGAGTTTTTACACTGAAATTCAAGCAAGTCAACTTTTAATTCTCCCACATTGAAAGATGCCTTCCAAGTGTGTATGTGTAGGACTATGGGACTGCCTGAGCCTAGGAGATCAAAACAAGACTTTCAGCAGGAGGAAAATAACCAGAATTGGTACTGTTGAGATGGATGTAGGTCGAAGGCCCGTGCTATCTGGAACTGATGAGCCAGGGGGAAATATAGGGAGACCATTCAGGCAGTAAGTGGTGATATCTATACTGTTGAGAATAGTCATTTTCAGGTTGCAGGCACTTTCTGTTGCACAGCCCATTCCAGCCATCACGATGGAAAGGGGATCACTGCTTCCCTTTGCTAAAAACAAAGATCCAGGAATTAGTTTCCTCTCTCCTCCCTTTTGCCCTCCTCACCCACATCCATTGGGAAAGGAAACTGTGCTCAGAATGGTCCAGAGTCCATGACTTCTGCCTCTTGACTGGGATGCCTGAGTCCAGCTCCAGCCCAGTCTTACTGTCTTCTGGTCTTATTGTCTCCCTGAGATAGAAGAAAACTCATAGGGACCATTGCATCTCAGACACAAGGCTAACACTGGAGTGAATTCACACTCACTAGGAGAGATGAGCTTGTTGCACACAAGGAAGAAGGCCAGATGCAGGGTTGTTAGTCAATTGTTGACTAAACCCTTTTAAGATACCTGTCCTCTACTCAGGTTCCCCTGAGGAAAATCTTGTGGCTCCCCCACAACTGACATCTCTTCTGAGGGTTCTGGGTTCTCGATAAGAATAATTATGGAACAAACTGGATGTATGTTTCCTGGGATAAACTGAAGTAGTGGATAGCTTCAACCCTCGTCTGTATTCTGTAATACCCCATTTTTTTTAATTCATCTTAACTTATCTAGACAGCGGGCCCTTCCCATATTTACCCCAGAAACTGTCAAAATAAAAACATAGCTTGCCTCCAGACCCATCAAGCTCTCAACCCACCACTTAACCCACTCCTAAATTCCACACAAGTTTTCATGTTTTGATGAGGAGTTGCTAGCTCATCCCCAAAGCATACAGTTCAGAAGAAAAAAAGCCTAGAGTTATTTTTGCAGTTAATCCCCGAAATGTATCCATGCCCCTCATAACAAATATATACTTTTCTCCTGCATGGGAAATTATAAATATTTCACTAAAGTCAGTGACATTAAGCAAAACTTAAGTGCTTATTGATGGGATCTGAGTCATCACAACAGTAGTGATGATGGCTTCTAGAACTCGGGTGTTATCGCTCCCTGCACTTCTGAGTCAAGGTCCTATTCCAGAATATCACAGCAACGTAGGTGCCCAAACTTGACTTTTCTGTGGGAAGCAGTTACATTTTTTTCCACTTTTCCTTCAGCTCCCGGCCCTTACCTCAACACTTCTTCTGTCAACCCTTGGGATAAATGGCTCAGTCTGAGGTTCAGAGGGACAACCACATACTTGGCCCTTGCTCTATGAGGGAAACAGCCTCTAAGATGATCTGTCCCCATCACGTGCATCTCCTGGAAAAGGTGCCCAAGGTTTGAATCTATTTAATCCACCTATGTCACATCTGGGTTAATCTATGTGACTATGAAGTGATATGTCTCTTCTAAGATGAGGGCTTAAACTACCTCAACTCCACTAATTACTCTACATCTATCTCTCATCTCTTCTCCAAGAGAGAAGCAAGAGGAGAACACTGGCAGCCTATGAAGAGGTCATAGAAAGTGAAAGTGAGACCCACCAAAAGCCAAGAATGGGCTAGAAAGCAGATCCTCCATCTGAAGGACCACAGCTTACACCAACAACAGAACTCAGCCTGATGAGACATCTAAGACAGCCAAACCACAATGCTGTTCTCAGTGTAGAGACTTTCAGATAGTGAGTAGTGGTAAATAGCTCCTGTTTACACCTGTTAGGTTGTGGCACAATTATCTGTGTAGTGATAAATGGCTGATACACTGTACCCTTATCAATATGAACATCACAATGCATGAGTAAATAATCATACCTGTGCCAATAGCCACAATGCACTTTGTCTCAGTCCCTGTGCATTTTAGAGAAGTTGGGATATGCAACGAGTCTAGCTCCGAATAGTAGGCAACACATTGAATACCATTGGGTTCTGCAGGCTCCTGAGATACTGAATGGAGAGGAAAAGGTGTTTAGCTTGAAGAGTAGGCAGAAAACAATAGCTGAGAATATCACTACCTCATTCAATCCAATACCATATAGTTCTTTCATGATTAAAAAAAAAAAAGCCCTAACATGCCATGGGAGGAGGAAACAGGAGGCAGATATCTAAGACCCTTTGGTAATAGTTGTCCACCCAACTAACTTCACCTTTCTTTAGTCCCTCACCTCTCTACCATGGCAGGAGACAAGTTACTAGTTATTGGGAAAGGAGATAATCTGCCATCTAAAAAGATGCTGACCAAAGGGTGAGGAATTAGCGACAGTTGTGACATATACATACATACATACATACACACACACACACACACACACACACACACACACACACACACACATATATATATATATATATATATATATATATATATATTCCTAACTATGGGGAGGCTGAAACAGGATGATTACTTGACTTTAGGAATTCAAGACAAGCCTAGGAAAGACAGTGAGATTTCATATCCACAACAAAAACAAAGATGAAGAATTAAATAAGTTTAAAAAATCTCAACTAAAGGGTGAGAGGGACACATTTAAATCCATAGACTCAGAGAAAAGAATGAGTACCAATCCATGGCACTCAGCTATCATTCATTCTCCCATGCAGACAAGAGGCTTGTATCTACCCTTTTACTTCCCAAGGCCAGGGGCCACAGGCAAAAGAAAAGACAAGCATGCAGCTTTGATGTGTCCCAGTGCAGGCAAGAGTCCAACGATAGCCAGGGGAGCCAGGATGAGCTATCAAGGGTGCAGAGATGAGCCTGACTCATATTTTATGTCCTCATGATTGCACTAATCAGTATTATAGCAATAGAAATATTATCACTGATTATATCTAAATGTCCGTTGGTCTCCCAGTGTTGCCTATAAAGTTGACCACACACACATCTGTACTCCAAGCTGCTCCAACTTTGGAGGCTAAGGAAGGAGTACTACTTGATCCCAGTAATAAAAGCAACCCTGGATACATGCAAGACTATCTCAACAATACAAAAATCCAAGATAAGGAATAAAATAGATGAGGAAAGACTCTTCGACTGGAGGAGCAGAGAGCAAAGCATTTAAACCTACAGATTCAATGAACCTCCTTAGAGAATAGGTCAAGGACAAATTACTGCTGCCCAGCTGTCACTCAGTCTGTGTATGCAAGAGAGGGACATGCATCCAAACCAGACTGTTACAATTGAAAGCTTCAAGCAAAAGGGAAAGCAAGTATCAGGGCTGCAGCCCTTCAGCAGAGAGATGTACTGATGGAAAGGCAGAGGAGCCCTGACCAGGTGCTAGGGCACAGACATGAGCTGTACTCACGTGTTAGGTCATCCTTGTTGCATTGATCACTTGTGCAGCAACGGTTCACATATCTGAATCTCCGCTGCTCCCCCAGTGTTGCCGAGAATTCCAGTCCACTGCATGTGTCTGTGTCTCCAGTACAGTTTTTTCGCTTAAACACTTGGTCTGGAACTAGAACTGCAGAAAATTGAACCACTCAGTAAATTTTCCTCCTGAGCTCATGATAAAGAACCTGCCCTTCATCCCTTCTGCCTTGAGAACTGCATTTCTCCAAGAGTCCCTCTGCAATGGTCTGTTTCAGAAAATGAACAAACAGAGGGACCATTTGCTACAAAGGGAGTGACTGGTGGTAGAGTACTTGCTTGGCATGTGTGTTGCCCAGAGTTTGATCCCCGAAACTATAAAAGCAAGAATGGAGTCACACCCGAATGAGCCTCATCATGTAGAATCCATGTCCTACAACAAACACATGCTCCATCTACACCACACCACAGAACCCTAGACCGCCCAGTCTCATCCTGGAAAGGAATCAAGGATAAACCAGAGGACTCTCAAGGTGTGAGGGTTGGCTTACATGGTGTATCAAATTGCTGTATTTGGTTGAAGCAGCCATTAGAGGCTGTACAAACATTTGTATTCCCAGGGCATGATGTATTTTGACATTCTTGTACTGTACACTGGTAACTCTCTGCAAGGAGGAAATGTACATAATTTAAAAGGTAATCCCAGAGCCTTGTAGTTGATGTTTCCTAGCAGTCAAGCCATGAGGGGCTAGACAGACCACTGGAGTCCCATGTGGTTGGTTATCTCCCCAAGGCTCTTGACTGCTCACCTCCCACCCACCCCCTTTAGGAGAAAGGAATGCCTTGTTTACTCTTACCCACAGAGCCCACAGCTAAGATGGTAACACCAAAGACTGTGAGGAGGTTCTTCAGGCTGTAGGACCAGGCCATGGTGACTTCTGAGAACACTGAATGAGATGCAAGAGATGACAATGGGACAGAACTATGGGGCTCAGACCTGTAATCCAGCCACCCACACTCTAGACTGTTGTTTGTCCATGCGTTCATTCACTCATTCTTTCTGAAAGCTGAACTTTATTGAACACTGCCTTGATGCTAGATGTGGTCATTTGGAAGGATGCAAAACTGGAAAAGACACCACATCCTTTATCAAGGCATGGGGGGTACTGAGAGGGTCTTCCTTCCCAGAGAAGGATTTCACCCAGGAGGGATTCTTCTTGCATGGGTCTGGAGGGCATAGATCTCCTTCCACAGTTGAAATGGCTAAATCAAGAAACCACTCCTCTGGGGAGCAGGTGGAGGCTCTCTATGTGCTAGAAAGTTCTGGGCCATGGTTCTTAAGAGCAATCAGCCCGTTAGTTAAGGAATCATCACTTCCACAGCCACCTTCCCCCTAACAGCTGTCCACCATCACCAGTATCACAGCCCACACTGGAAACACTCACCAAGGAGTAGTCTTGCTCTTCTGAAAGGTCTGCCTTGAGATGGAGAGGAAGGCCAGTGATCTCACCAGAGAGAGGAAGAAAGACTACTTTCTCTGCTCTCACTGTCACTGACTCTTATAGCCCAGAGGACTATTGCCTGGCAATTAAGCTACTGCAGATAGTATTTTGACATGAAGCCAAATGCACTGAACTTCCTGATCTAGACAAAGAAAGAGATACTGTGAGAATAGCTCTTCCTGACCTCTGGTCGGTGGGGAGGAGCAGGAGGCTATGATGGTTCTGGACCTCCACTGAACTGCAGGAAAGACTCGAGGCAATTGAAAGTTGCAGTGTGTAGGATCTTGGCCCTGCATCACCCCCCCATACACACACACACACACACACACACACACACACACACACACACTTTTCTTTCCTCAGTGACAATTCCCAACATTCCCTCTCACATATTCCATTCTTCCTACCCAGAACCAGACCCCAGGACTCATGTGCTTCTCTGCTGCAGAGGGACTGGGAGTGTTCCTCTATAACATATTCTTTGTCATTATTCCTGGTTTTATGCCAAATCCTTGCTAGCTCTATGCCAGCCTATTTATTTGCAATGGAGCGATACACAAAAGAAATTCACAATTCATCTGTCCTTCTGAAACTATCCAGATCTTGATCATATTTTCTCAAAATACAGGACTGTGTGGCAGGCATGGAGATCAGGGAGAACCCACCTAGGAACCTACGATGTTGAGTATGAATGCTGGGGCTGCAGGCAAGGGACAGCATGGCTGCCCAGGTTCCCCAAGGTTGTGGAGGTATGGAAGGAGACATTTAGACAGGTAGACTGTGTAAGAATGTGTGGGAGAGAACAATTTGACAGGAGAGGTTGGGTGAAGGGGTGTTGAAGAAGACATTTAGACAGGGGAGGATGAGATGTGGAGTTATGGGAGGAGACATTTGACAGACACTGAGATCAGCAGAGCCTTGGCTGAAACTTCTACAAAGACGTGGAAACCCTAGGGGCCTGGAGAGCTGAGTTTTGTCCTTAGGGATCAAGAGTGTTGTCCACCGTGTCCAAGAAAGAAAGAGAGATGAGGCAGAACAATGAGGACAGTGGCAAGATGTTAGTCAGCGCCCTGACCTAACAAGTGACTCCAGCAAGGACCAGGGCAATCAGAGGTTCGTATTAGCCAGGCTTTTAGCTGCCTGGGATGATGGCCCATCTGTCCGATATATTCATTGAGCACCACAGCTAGTTCACTCAGACAGGCAAGGACCCCTTGCCCTTCTCAGCAAACACCCAGATTAACACTACTCCAATAACCTGGACTCTGAATGCCCTGGCTGGCTGACATGACCTTACATAGATACTCTCCTTCCACCTGTGTAATGAGCTGAGGGGAGGTTTGATCTCTAGTCCACACAAGTGTAGCCAGTTTTGTGTTAGCTGGTGCCTCAGTTTAAGCCCATGCACACTGGAGCCTGTCTACCTCCTGGTCCACAGACTCCCCTTCCTACATCTAACCCAACTACCAAAGAAGGATGAGCAATACAGGCATTTTCACATCTGAACAGTGTGTCTACATATAGCCTGGTCAGTAAACATCAGCTCACTCATCTGGAAAAGCAGGCTTTCTGTGTATTAGCTAACAAAAACACATCAGCCAAACTTTGTGGGGGTGGGGAGGGGTGAGTATGACATAATGGTGCACATCTCTAGTCCTAACACTTGGGAGGCAGAGGCAGCAGATCCTTGTGAGTTCAGACCAGCCTGGTTTACATAAAGACTTCCAGGCCATCCAGGGCTACATAATAAAACCCTATCTTAGAGAAGAGCAGGGAGAGGGAGAGAGAAAACAAACATCAACTTCCATAAAGGATTAGTTATTTCTACTGGTGTTTCCTGGACTTTGAATCTCAACACTTAATCTTTGTGCAAGAGTTAGAACTTCATGGAAGTTGGCCCACTATTTGCATAGCTACTGGGCCCCAGACAGTAATGAGGGGATGTCCCACAGTCAAGTTTTGATTTCAGCTAAATCTACCAAAAAGAGCAAATGATACAGAATCAGCCCACACTCTTCATCTCCACAAACGTTGGCACATTTTCTTCTTTTTTTATAAAAAATACTTCATTCGAGTGCTTTATGACATTTTCTCTACTTACTGCCACCTCCCTGGTGCCAGGAAACTGGCAGGAGCTCTCCAGCTCTTCCTCAATTACAAGTTCTGACCTGAGGGTAGTGTCCTAGTCTTGAACTTTCAAACTTTTTGACCCTCCCTGATCTGTGAAAATGGCATATTCACCAGCCTATGGGCTAATGTGGTTGAACTAATAGAAGGAAACTGAGTTCAACTTGTTATTAGCAAGAAAAAGAGTCCTCAAAATTAACATACAGAAGACAGAATTCCTACATCCCAGAATGTAACTTGATTTAAAAACACAATATTCCTAAATATGGGCCAAAACAAGGTGATTTCCTGTGGGCCCTTATACAAGAGGTTAGGGCTCAATGTATACCAAGTACAGGCCATACAAAGACAGGGGAAGATGCTCACTGCAGTCCAAGAACAAAGTCACAGAGAAACAAGACCTGCTGAGCCTGGATTTCACACTTCCAGCTTCTGGGATCATGGGAAAAAACTGTGTGTTGTGTGTCATCCACTGTGGTGTGTGGTTGTGGCTGAGCTTTCAAACCCATGTTTGGTAGACTACAAGATGAGTAAAACAACTTCAAAGAAACACTAGCTCTCTCTTATTTTTTTAATTTAATTTATTATTTTACATGTCAATCCCAGTTCTCCCTCCCTCCCTCACTTTTACCCTCTCTGCCCTCTCACATCCACCCTGACCACCCTCCCCTCCCATCCCCCCATCCCAATTCCATATGTAGAGCAATGACATCCATGTGGGGTCATGTAGATCTGACAGGTCATTTGAAGTAGGGACTAGGGCTTCTCTCCTGTCTCTAGGTTAAGGCAGTATCCCTCCATGGGGGATGTGTCTGCAACGTCCTTTTGTGCACCAGGAATACATCCTGGCTCCACTGTCTCAGGTCCCTTAGACTGCTCAGTCCCTCTAGCTGAGACCCATATGGGTCAGCCCCATTCTGGATTCCCAGCTCTCAGTCTAGGGGCCCATTAGCTCCTCCTTGTTCAGGTCAGCTGTCTCTGTGTGTTTCTGCAACCTGGTCTTGTCTTCTCCCTCTGCATCTGGATTCTAGTTAGACTCAGTGTTTAGGTATGGGTGTTTGCTTCTGTTTCCAACAGGTACTAGATGAGGGCTCCATGATGGTGAATAAGTTAATTGTTGATCTCACTATCAGGGAAGGGCATTTATGGTAGCCTTTCCACGGATGCTCAAATTGTTAGTTGGCGGCAGTCTTGTAGGTCTCTAGACCTTTCTTTGGGTTCAGTTTTCTCTTCAAACGAATATTGGCTCCCTCTTTTATGTTTGTTCTCTCTCTCTCTCTTTCTCTCTTCCTCTCTCTCTCTCTCTCTCTCTCATCTTCTATTCCTACCCTGATTCAATCTTCCTAGTCGCACGTGTTTTCCTCTCCTCCCCTTCTCTTTTTCCTACTTCTCTCTCTATTCACTGCCCCCCTACTTCCCATGTTCTCTGGGGGACTTGTCCCTTCCCCTTTCTGAGAGGGACTTTATATGAATCTCTTAGAATACACCTTGTATCCTAGTTCCTCTGGTGGTGTGAATTATAGGCTGGTGATCCTTTGCTCTAGGTCTAAAATCCATATATGAATGAGTACATACTATGTTCCTCTTTTTGTGACTGGGTTGCCTCATTCAGGATGGTTTCTTCAAGTGTCATCCACTTGTCTGTGAATTTCAAGATACCATTATTTTTTTCTGCAGAGAATAATATTCCATTGTGTAGATGTGCCACATCTTCATTATTCATTCTTCAATTGAGGGGCATCTAGGTTGCTTCCAGGTTCTTGCTATTACAAATAGTGCTGCTATGAACATAGTTGAACAGATGTCTTTGTTGCATGGATGCGGATCATTTGGGTATATGCCTAAGAGGGGGGATTGCTGGGTCCTGTGGTAAACTAATGCCCATTTTCCTGAGGAACCACCATACTGATCTCCAAAATGGCTGTACGAGTTTGCACTCCCACCAGCAGTGGAGGAGTGTTCCCATTTTTCCACATCCTCTCCAACATGAGTCATCATTGGTGTTTCTAATTTTAGCCATTCTGGCAGGAGTAAGATGGTATCTCAAAGTTGTTTTGATTTGCATTTCCCTGATAGCTAAGGATGTTGAGCACTTTCTTAAGTGTCTTTCAACCTTTTTGATTTCCTCTATTGAGAATTCTTTCTTCAGTTCTGTACACCATTTTTTAATAGGGTTATTTGGTGTTTTGTTGACTAGTTCCTTGAGTTCTTGGTATATTTTGGAAATCAGCCCTTTGTCGGATATAGGATTGGTGAAAATCTTTTCCCAGGCTGTGGGCTGCCGTTTGGTCTTGTCGACTGTGTCCTTTGCCTTACAGAAGCTTCTAAGTTTGAAGAGGTCCCATTTATTAATTGTTGTTCTCAGTGTCTGTGTCCACCATATAAACTAACTGAAAAAGAAAAACCATATGATCATCTCCCTAGATGCTGAAAAAGCCTTCGACAAAATCCAATACCTTTTCATGATAAAGGTCTTGAGAGATCAGGGATAACAGGAACATACCTAAACATAAGAGCAATATACAGCAAACCAACTGCCAACATCAAACTGAATGGAGAGAAACTTAGGGCGATTCCTTAGGAACAAGACAAGGCTACCCTCTCTCTCCATATCTCTTCAATATTATACTTGAAGTTCTAGCTAAAGCTATAAGACAACAAAAGGAGATCAAGGGGATCCAAATTGGAAAGGAAGAAATCAAACTGTCTCTATTTGCAGATGATATGATAGTTTACATAAGTGACCCAATAAACTTTACCAGGGAACTCCTACAACTGATAAACACCTTCAGCAAACTAGCAGGATACAAGATAAACTCAAAAAAAAAAAATCAGTAGCCCTACTTTTTTCAGACGACAAAGAGGCGGAGAAAGAAATCAGAGAAACATCACCCTTTA